TGAATTTTTGTTAAAATGATATATGTGAATTGCTACATTAATATGGAAACATTTATATCAGTTGAATGCTCTCAAGTCCTTTATACATTTATTCTCCTTAACAGTTTGCTATTTTTAACTGTGTAATTTTTTTTTGGGTTCTGCATCTTGAGGTAAAATTAACTTTGCATACATTGATTTTTTTTTAAAACCCTCATGGTATTTTTTTTGCATTACCATTTCAGCTACACCAACGTCCCATTAAATTTAATTTCTGCTGGTATTATTTTATTTCAATTTAATTTATTTTTTTATTTTGCTATTTGGCTTAATTTCTTTTTTTTTCATTATTATTTTTTGTTTGGACTTAATTTTCTTATTTTTGTATTTTCTGCTTTTTCAACTTCATTTTTTAGTACTTAAACATAAAACAAAAACAAATCAAAATACAAATATTTACAAAAAAAAAAACACCATTCATTTTTTTTACGCCTATACGCCGATCAAAATAAAAATATTTACATAAAAAAAACTTTCATTTTTTTTACGACCATACGCCAATCTCACTTTCTCGTCTCTTTCATCGTTTTCTTCATTTTTTTATCACCTTGGGAGGCCCTTGAAGGCCTTGCCCTCGTGCTTTCGTCGAAAGCGAGAACTCCCCACTGACTATCAAAAGCCAATAACGACGTTGCTTCAAATCGAGCCATGGAGGTGGTCTTCCGTTTAAGCTCTTTATTTTCGGCCTTCAGTGCGCAAATCTCTACTTGAGCATCCTTGTACATGCGCTGAAGCAGAGAGAGTTGGGCGTTGACCTGGTGCAGCTCACTTGTTCTGTTCTGTAGTCGATGCGCCAATTTTGTGACTGCAGTCACCGTCTCCATACCGGATGTCAATGTGAAATGATTGGCTTCAATATCTGATTGCGTTGCCATTATTTGCTCAATCAACATCATAGGAAGGTTGGGAAGAGTAGGCGCCAGGGCACTTGGCCCAACAGCGCTTGAGGGGTCATTCAGATCCAGAAAGAGAGTGAGGGGATGGGGCAAGGCCACGTGGTCGTTAAGAGAGATGTAATCGAAAGGAGGGTTGTTTTTGGCAGACTTTCTACTCTGCTCAGTCTCTCTGCTTTATCTCTCTAAAGACGACGTAGAAAGGGATGCAAGCGAATGAGGAAGAAGAAAGACGACGTAGAAAGGGATGCAAGCGAATGAGGAATATGATGTTATGTATTTATAGTTTGATATCTTGCTCTCATATCATGTCTCTGATTAAAGCTTATTTATTACACATGTGTTAACCTATGTATTTAGAAATGAATTCAGGGAGCAAGACTTGAGGGGGAGCTTTTCTTACTCCCAAAACAAATCAAAACATCATTGTCTGCCATCATCAAAAAGGGAGAGATTGTTAGACTTATTTATTTTGATGATTTGTTTAATTATGTTTTAATTTATTTGGAAGAGAAAAATATAATCAAAATTTATTTTGATGATTTATCTGAAAGAGAAAAATAGAATCAACATTTATTTTGATGATTTATTTAATTATGTTTTAATTTATTTGAAAGAGAAAAATAGAATCAAAATTTATTTTGTTCCATTATTTATCACCTAAACCTTTATCCTAAATGTTGTTAGAATGTATTTAATATTTGATTAAATTAAGAGTTCAAACAACCAAAAAATAGAGGTTCAAACAGCCCAGCACAGCAGCAGTTTAAAAGATTCAAGTAGAAGATATTCAAATTAGTAATGATGGAGTGGAAGATATTCAAATGACTACAACGGCTATAAGTTTCATTATATATACCAAAGTCTCTGATGTGAACCTATTCTCTGAAATTTTTTTTTAGAAGTGTTCTTCAATTTTTGTTTACATTCTCTCTCAGAAATTATACATCAAGTCATATAACTTTAAGCCCATATTTCATGTGTGAGGATTATAGAAATCAGAGTCTCATTTTTATATATATCTTTGAGAGATAATTCTTGTAACTTTTTGTGAAAGTAAAAACACCTTATTTTCAATCTTGTAAGAATGTAATACTCTCAGTGTTTTTTGGACTTAGAAAGTCTGTGTAAAATTCGTGGAGAATTGCTCCATCTGTGAAAAGATTGCTAGCACCCTGTGAAACTAAAGAATAGTGAAAAATCTCAAGTGAAGCTTGAGGAGTAGACGTAGTCCGAGTTGAAACTGAACCACTATAAATTTGTTTGCCCCTCTCTCTCTCTTATCTCTTTGTTTTATTTAAATTGCCATAACTATATTTCATATTTTTATTGTGCTAAGATTATTAATCGATATAGTTGTTAGAATACTTATTTTTATTTCATTAACTATATTTATCTATTGTGTTAGTAATAATTTTTATTAGGATATTATTTTTTTTATATGTAAAAGTCTTGTTCACTTGGTATTGCTCTTTGAATGTCTTTTGGGTAACATAAACAAAACATATAAACCAATGCTATTGTACACTTGGTATTGCTCTTTGATCCAGAAAAATATTACTAAACACCAAACAATGCATAGAAGACAGTGCTCTGCAATTCTAGAAAATAAAAAATAAAAAATTAAGATTAAACACTAAACAATGCCTTCCAAACAATAAAATTAAAATTAAATACCAAATAATGCACACAACTAGTGCTTTGCAATTTTTTTTTTTTGAAAATAAAATTAAAATGCACACTAACCAGTACTTTTCAATTTAAAAAAATTAAATTAAAATGTACACTAGTCAGTGCTCTGCAATTTCAAAAAATTAAAAGTAAAATTAAACACCAAACAATACATACCTACTAGTGCTACTGTTGGCAATAAAATTTTAATAGTTCTTTGTAAATTATAAACCTCAAACCAGTAAAATAAGTAGTAACCAAATAAAGCACACCAGTAACTCGTTCTCAATTCGAAAAAATTAAAATTAAAATTAAAATAAAACAATGAACATTGACTAGTGCTCTGCAATTATAAAAAAAATTAAATTAAAATTAAACACTAAACAATCTAACATAAAACATACCAAGTTACAGTGCTTTATTCTTTAAAATAAAACACCAAATCTAGTAAGTAATTTTTTCATTTATTATTATTTTTAGATTTATTTACAAATATTTTACTTTTTAAATATATTTCGAATATGTGCATCTAAAATAAAAAATTCAATTAAAACATAAAAAAAATTCACTAAAGACAACAAAATATGAAAAATAAAAAATTCAAAAATTATTTTCGAAAATTCAAAACCCCAAAATAAGTATTCTCAGTTTTTTGGGCAAATTACAGATACACCCTATAAGATTTGCTTAAAATATGAATTGTCTCTATAGTTCTGGAAATTATATCTCATCCCTTGAAATTTAAAATTTCATAACAAATGAACCATTTTATTTTTAAATTATAAAGTCAATTAATAGTTTTTAATAATATAAAAAATTTATGAGATTTTTATTGATAAATCCTATTTAGAAATGTCATAACCCAAGAAGTCCATGAATGAATTTTTAAACTCACTTAGTCCCATGTAGTTATACTTTTATTTTATAAAGTCATTTTTTCTTGATTTACATTATTTTCTTTGACTCTTATGCCTTTATATTAATATTAATATTTAACGTGGAGAGAGAAGGGAAATGACCAAAGTATAGGAAATTTTATACACAAATTAAATACCATTGATATTATTATTTTATATTATTATATAATGTGAATATATTTTTAATTGACCACACATAAAAAATAATGTGAATATTCTCTCTCATCTGATGTGAATATATTTTTAATTGACAATACATTAAAAATAATGTTAACATCATCTCTCATCTGATGTGAACGTTCACAACACCTTTCCTAAAAAATCTCTCTCATCTAATGTTGTGAACATATAGTGATGTGAACGTTCACAACATGTGAACCTTCTTATTTTTAATTGACAACACATTAAAAATAATATGAACATTCTCTCTCATTTAAATGTGAACATTTACAATACCTTTCTAAAAAATTCTCTCTCATCTAATGTAATGATGTAAACATTCACAACATGTTATATTTTTAATTGGCAACACATTTTTATTCATAATATGTAGTGATGTGAACGTTCACATTCGTATGTTTTAGTATAAATATTCACATTATGTAATTGACAACACAATTAGAAAAATTCATTTCAAATTAATGTGAATATAATGATGTGAATATTCATTTCAATTACATGATGTGAATATTCACATCATATAATTGACAATACAATGACAAAAATTCATTTCAAATTAATATGAATATAATGATAGTTAATATTCTGATGTATAAGTACTACCAAAATATAATAACAATCAATATTAATAGGGAGCATGAGATATTAAGGGTGTTTTGGTCTTCTTACCTCAAATAAGATCTAATGGAATAGTAAAAAAGAATATGGGTTGGATGAAATAAAATTCTTAGAAAGAGAATTTATCAAAAAAGCTCTCAAAATATTTCAAATAATAATTCAAGTAATTTTATTATTATACAAAAGAGTAGTTAATAATTTTATTTTCTTAATTAATTTTGTTAAATAAAAAAGTATTTAGCTTGTTTGGTTTGGATTTTAAGAATTCACTTTTCAAAGAATTTAATTTTTTTATTTTTCATATTTTTTTGTTTTTACTGATTTTTTAATATTCTACACAATTTTTTTAATTTTTAGATACACCTAATATAAATATACTTAAAAGTATAATATTTGTGAAAAAAATCTTTAGAAAATTCACGAAATACCAAAAATATAAAAAGATATGAGAATTCAATATATTTTTTTTGTATTTTTGTCTATGTATTGATTTTTAAAAATAAGGTGAATCTAAAAAAATAAAAAAATAACTTAAACTTTTAAAAAATACAAAAAATAAAAAATTTAATTTTAAAAAAATAAAATACAAAAAATTAAAATAAAATGTTAAATTTTTTTAAAAACCGGGTTAGATGAAATAGAGTCGGGTCAATTTGTTTGCAATCCCTATTCGTGTCGTGGCCACCTTGAATCTGATTTTGGGATTCTTCGTTATCGCCACCTCTACTTGAGCTAGAGAGGGGGACAGAGGGAGAGACCCTGGGTGGGTTCAGTGTTATGTTTTTGTCGCTGTGTATTCAAATCGGATTACGGACTCGCCAATAAAACCCAACCCCTCTCTCTCTTCATCACTCTCCTCCTCCTCCTCCTCCTTCTCCTTCAAAACCCTAGAAAACGAACCAGACCTTCAAATCCCCTGATACACAGTTGCACATATACGTACGCAATCTCTGAGGAATTGTCGCCATGTCTGGACCTTCGCGAGAGCAAGCGCTCTCTCTCCTTGCACAGGCCAACAACCATGGCGATTTGGCTGTAAAGCTCTCTTCTTTGAAACAGGCTAAAGATATCTTGGCTTCTTCCTCCGACCCTTCTCTTGCTTCCGAACTCTTCCCCTATTTGGTCGAACTTCAATATTCTCCCGAATTTCTCGTTCGTAAATCCCTCATCGAGTGAGTTCTATTCCCCCAATTTTTCTTTTTCTTTTTCTTTAACTTTTTCTTGTTTCTCTTCTTGTTTGTGAATTTGATGCTTTCACGCTGTTATTATTATTGAATGTATTGTAGGGTTAATGTTGAATGTCTGTGTCTATATGCCTATTTCTTGATGTTTGAATTTCTACACTGCAATTGCCAAATTTCTACTACCTTATCTTTGCATGCTTAAAATTGAGTGAAGCAGGTATGGGTTGGTGTAATTCCTGGAGAAGTTGGATCCTGTTTCATGTAGCTGCATATGATTTGCAGCAAAATTAGCGACTTGGGTATGGGTCGTATCTAGAGGTCGGATTCATCAACCCATAAATTTAAGGGTACATGGACTCGGCAAAAAAATATCATTTTAATAGTGAGATAAAATGATGGTATATGTAACTTACAGTGTGTCAAAAAGATATTTATAGCAATTATACAACAATGTGTACACATAATAATAGTGTTATATACAATTATAATATAAGCAGTGTTCGTTGAAATGTAGCTAACACATATCCTATACACTTGCTCAAGTGTCGGGCGTCCGACATGGATATTTGGTTTATTTTGAAGAGTCCGTGTAGCATAGAAATTAGCCCACATTGGAACCTTGTTCCACAGGAGAAAGAACAAAAATTTAAAATACAACCAGACATTTCTTGTACTACTCTTTGGCTGAGATGAGTTGAGTTCTTTGTGTCAGTAGGAACTATATACGTGTTCATAAGAATATTTTCTGTCATGTTGTTTTCTTCAGTTTTTATCCCCCCAGAAATTAACCGGAGGATTATTTCTTTGTTCTTTATTTTCACATACTATATTCCAGCTCAATACAAATGAATTGTCTATAATGCCTACTAGTAAACCCTACTTTTGGTTTAAGTATTTGGAATACATACATGCTTTATGTGCATGTCGGGAGCCCAACTATGCTGCATTGTGTTTCATATACGGTGCCTTAGTTTTATTGACATTCTTAAAACACAATGTACCTATTATTTTAAGCATACTTGAAAGTTATTGTAAGCATACCTGAAAGTTATTGTAAGCATACTGGAAAGTGATGGTCACTTTATTCACACTATAGATATTGAAATTATATCAGTGGACAATTAGTACAGCCCATATTGTCTCAGTCAAGCATAAAGGAATTATTAGATAGAGGTGAGAAGAAACTACTACTTTTTTGTACCATTTAGTAGTTTTTGTGGGAGTTCTTACTAGGTCATATTTTGCGGCACAATGTATCAGTACTTACATTTTTCTTTGCATGGTGCTAACATCATTAATTCAGTACTTAGCCGCTTTTTTTCTCCTATTTTCTCTCCAGAAAATGATCATTTTATTGCTTAATCTTACTAAGGAACATGTGTCAACGAGTTTTTAAAACTGCCGTATTTAACTGGCTCATATATATCTCTTTGAGGTCTATTTAAATCTCCTTGTTGCTTTTGAATTATTCTTTGATGGTTTGACCAAATGTCGTTGTAATTGATTGCTAGGGCGGTGGAGGAGATTGGTTTGAAAGCAATGAAACACTCTTCAATATTAATGCCAGTCTTATTGGCGACTTTACATGATAATGATTCTATTGTTGTAAGACAATCCATTGTTAGTGGCACCAATATTTTTTGCTGCATTTTGGAGGAGTTGTCATTGCAGGTCTCTCTCTCTCTCTCTCTCTCTCTCTCAAATTGGTTTTCACACTCTCTCTCTCAACGTCGGCTTTCATGTTATTTTGAATACATGTATTTACATTTTGGTTTGTTTTTGAGATCATGGTATTAGGATTAGGACACTACCCTTTTTTTTTATTTTTTTTATTTGATAAGTAACTGAATTTAGATTCAAGAAGGTGCCAAGGGGGCACCACCCAATTGTAAAAGAAAACAAATGGGAAAAACCTCTACATCAGCTCAAATTCCCAAGGAGACCATAAAAATGACAAATATATACTACCTATTCAATCTAATATTCCTGGGCAGCTTTATCACACCCTTCCTCTATTTCCCACCACACCTCTCCTTTACTTCCCACTACACCTCTCCTCCACTTGCCTCAAGTCTGGCCTCTTTATGTCTACTATCATAATTGATGGTGCAGACCAGATTTTTTAGCTCCCTTGTACTTACTTCTTCTAGAAGACATTCCATCCATTCTTATCCTGTTATTTGCTTCAATTGCTGCTTTCAGCTTATGGTTACATTCTACCTTACATTATCAAGTACATGTCATGAGTGAATAAAAAAGCTCCCTGCTAGAACCAGGTTCATCAACTGTTCACTGGTCATGGGTCATAAACTAAGTTTGATGACAATGGGCACAACAGGGGACTCAAGGAAAAGAGAAAGGCAAAGAACCAGAATGGTAATAAATTTGATGTCAATGGCCATATGCTGTTCTACCTTTCATAAAGAAAAATGTTTTTGTTACTGTGTAGCCATGCCAGCAGAACTGAACAGCAGCAAAATCTTTTTCAGTTTGTTTCCCTTCATTGACGTAGCTCTGAATCAAATTTTAGCAGGATATCATGGAGTATCTGATTCTGTATATCTCTCTGCTGGTTATTTTATTGACCATTGAAAGAATGATAAACTTTTTTTTGTAGAATGTGCGTATGAGACTCCTTGTTTTTGGTCTTTCAAAATTCTAACAAGCTGTAGGCTGAATCCTGATTTTGTTATTTGTTAGTGTAGCTTCCTTTTAATTCTGAATTTTTGCCATTTATTGGCTTCTAATTTTTCTGACTTCATCCAAAACTGTTACTGTATCTTGAAAAATTATAGTTTCACCAGCATGGTATAGTTGAGAGGTGGCTTGAAGAGCTTTGGACATGGATGGTTAAGTTCAAGGATGCTGTCTTTGGCATTCTGTGGGAGGTATGTATGACTTTGCTTTTCTCTTTATAGTCTCAGTGGCTGACTAGAGAATTTAAGTTTCTGTATAAAATGTGTATAACTGCAATCAATTGGAGAAGTCAACCTGACATTGGTGATTCGTTTCCCTTTTCAATAGAATGCCTTCAGTTCCCTGCGGTAGTGCTTATTGGTTAAACACTGATAATATTGTTATTGGCGTGCATTTCATGTGCAAATCCTTATTGGATGTTTTCCATGTTTGAAAGAATGGGAGGAAAGAAGTATTAAGTGTCAAATTTTGTTATGTGAGGTTATACATAAGTTTTCATGTCAGATTGTGGGAAACCATGAACAAATCTATATTAGATGCTTCCCATGTTTGAAAGAGGGAGAGCAAGAAGTATTAAGTGTTAAATTTTTTGTATGCTAGGTTCTGCGTTAGTTCTCGTGTCAGACTGGGAAACCATGAGTGTTGATGCCTATTCAATCTTGCTTCAAGAAAAAATGTCTGGATGAGGAAACTCTTCTATTATTATTTGTTGAGATGTTGTCTAAATCATGGGGTGCATGCTTGGCTCCATAAGTATTTTGATGAAGTTTACGAGTTAACTAAGGCCTCGTTTGGGAACCAGTCCATTTAGCCAAAAAGTCAAAAAGCTACTAAAAAAGCCAAAAAGCCAACAACCCATACAAAAAAGTCAAAGATTCTCTTTTCTCTCTACTTTTTGCACATATTTTCGTAAAAAGTCATCCCAAACATACTAGCTTTTTTTAGCTTATATATTAGCCAAATAGCTAAAAAATTACTAAATTAGACTGTTCCCAAACGAGGCCTAAATATCCAGGTTTGATCCCTCTGGGAGGGATCAAACCCGGAAATGACCCATTATTTGACATTTGGTGTAGGGAGGTATTTTAGAAGGATATTTGCTAAAATGTGATGAAAATTATTTACATGAGAGAAAGAAGTGCTTTTTGGTTTGTTTAGGAACTGCTCATCCATATGGTAGGTTGCTTTCCTAAGAAATAGAGACACTTCTAAGAAAGTAACGTGTCGTGTCTGACATCGTGTCGGATACCGATACGACACGACACTCATTAGATGCTTCCTAACATAGACACATATGAGATACTTTATAGTTTGAATAAAATAACTTAGAATCTAATGATAAAACTAAAACAATGTAATTTCTACCTATTTTTCTCCTTTAGACTTAAAAAATCTAAGAGCTCGTTTGGGAACTTTGGCTTTTTTAGTGGCTTTAAGGCTTTTTTTTTTTTTGAGATGGAAAAAGTTAGTGTGTTTGGGATAGTTTTTTTGGTTGAATAGATGGTTGTGAAGGAAAAAATAATTGATTGATGTATAAGATGTGACATTTTAACTTTTTGGCTTTTTTGTGATTTTTTGTGTGTGGTTGTTTTAGCCAAAAAGCTTCATCCCAAACAACCCCTAAGTAGTACATGCACATATATGCGATGCAATGCGACATTGCAACGACATGCTTGGGTTGGAAACATGTTAAAATTTTATATTTTTACAAATTTATTATATGTGAATAATTTTCTCAATTCAAAGATAATGAAAAATATGTAATATAACACCAACTACATAAAAAAAAAAACCTATATGTTTCATAACTTAAACATCAAGATACTATTCACATAACAATGACATTCTAAACCATGCAAGACAATTATAGAACTTTGTATAATATATGTGATGTATTCTTCTTATAAATGTTTTAAAACATATTTATAGTGCATAAGTTGTGTTTTGAAAAATGTAGAACATTGTTATTTTGAAGGTATTCATCACATAGGATGTGTTTAGAGTGTTCAAAAAGGGTCGTCAAAGTTTCCAAGAGTGTCTGATATTATGAATTTGATTTTTTTAATTAGGACACGTTGCAGAAGTCAGACACACATTTAAGAGTGTTCAAGAAGTGTTGATGTCCGATGACTTAAATATTCATATATATGACTTATAATAATCATTTATCCTTATATATGACATAGTAAATATATAAATTATATATTTTGTTTGTGTCCCCCACGAGTCGTGTTTTACATTATTCGAAAATTTGTGTGTTGGTTGGCGTGTTTGTGTTGTGTTGTAGCATGTCAGTGCTTGTGCTTCTTTCTTAGTTGTTGTCTGTAGTTCTCTTTTTTTACATGCTTATTGCTTCAACCATAGGAATAGTATGATAATATTTGACTGTGATGCTATGTAATTTGGTATCATATCAGTTGCTGTAACGTGATTGGTATTTTCTGCATATGCATTTATTTGCTTTCTCATTTGTTGGCAAAGTGGTTGCGTTATGGCTGAAGAGAAAATCTGATATGAACAATTTGGGATAACTTGCTGTTGAGATTTGAAATACACAGCTAACAAAAGCTTTTCTTGGATTTGATGTTTTAGGCTGGTTCTGTTGGTACGAAGCTGCTGGCTTTGAAATTTTTGGAGACATATGTTTTACTTTTTACGTCTGGCACCGGTGATACTGAAAAGCCTGCCTCAGAAGGTGTTGCATTTAATCATTGAATGGCCTAGGGGTTTGAGTGTATTTGATGCATCACGTGTTATGTTGCATTTAGGCTGTTTACCCAATCACTTCCTACTCATGGGCTTTGATTGTTGATTATTTTTTTTGATTGTTGTTTTTTTCCTGTAGCTGTACCAAGAAATGGACGGGCTTTTAATGTTTCATTGCTGGTTGATGGTCACCCTGTTTTGGATCCAGTTGCACTTACATCAAAGGCAAATAGATCTCTTGGCATCCTACTGGATTTGTTGCACTCGGCCAGTAGTCTGCCTGGACCCTTGATAATATCTGTTGTTAATTGGTGAGTTATCAATGACCATCTGTTTGCTTTTTTATTTGTTTGTTTTGTGCATTGCTTGATTTCACATTCCTTCAAATTTAGGTCTATTTTCTATATGGTATTGTGGTAAACTATTTTTTTCCCTTTATCTAAAAAATTATATTAACTAGAGTGAATACACTAATGGGTGCCAAAGGAGTGTGCTGAAAGAAGAGGAAACTTTTGACAGTAACTAGAAGTCATAAATATTATAGGAAAGAGAACAATTCAATTTGGCAGGAGAATGAATTTTCATTGAAATTGAAGTAGAGCTGCAAGAAAATGCTACCTTATTTTGTCCAAATTTCTTTCTTTCCACTAGTTTCAAAGGTGCCAAAAAGACTAGGAGTGCCGAAGAGAATATAGGTGGGGCAGTGATAGTTACTTTGAATCCCGACATAGGAAATGTCTTTGCAGAATCTTGATTCATAGTTTTGACCATTATCTTTGTGCTAGTTTAAATATTAATCTATTTTTCGACCCACTTGTGGTGTTGTCCTTTACAAAACAATCAGTTATTCAATTTTTTTCTGCAAATATATGTTTATGATATTTTTAGTCTGAACATTTCATATAAGAGCAAATAACAATTACGAGATACAATCAGTTGTTTAGGGTCCTAACCTGCCCGACTTAGAGTATATTATATGTTTCTTCAAGTTTTGTTTTTATCAATCATTAGTGATTTAGAAGTAGATATTTTTTTCTAGTCAGCTGTCCCAGTCTGAGTACTTTCTTTTGAAGCCTTGGAACAGCGTTTGGTTTCATTTCAAAAATTATTTTCTGTTCTTTAAAACAGAAAAATGAACTGATACAGAAAACTTTTTGGACACTGAAAAGCTTTCTGAAAAAACCCTCATTTTTAGGAAAAAGTTTAAATTATTTTCTGAATTCTCAAAAACTCTCTTCAAACATTGGCGTTTCTAAACTTTTCATTGATTTTGTTTCTAAAAACACAAGAACAATTTTTTTTTTTTTAAAAGGCTACTTAACAGGCACCTCTTTTGGCTATATTTTTCTACTAATGACCTTACGTAATTGGTTGTGGGAGGTCTAGAAATGTAGATCTTCCTGGAGGATTTGCAAATTGTACTTTTTGGACATTGTATTCTCTACTTAACGGGATGCTAAAACCTTCCATTTGGAAGAACCTCTTTGTTGTGTTACTTGTTATGCGATACACAATTCTGAGAACATAAAAATCTCATGCATTGTTCCTAGTTCTGTATAATGTATAAGAAATCATGAGCATGTGTAAAATAATACATGTTTACGCTTTTGTGTGATTTATGTGTTTGTAGTACTAGTGTATACCTGTTATGCTGCTAGAGTTGTATGATGCATTTTTACATGTGCTGAACATGCTGGTAATAGTCAATTGGGATGGTTTTGTTATCTGTCCCAATGATGGTTTCTGGTGTGGGGATTGGAATTGTAGTGTGTGTTTCCGTTCAAGTTTTCCTGACCTGAATTTGTAAAACCTTGTTGGATTGGGATTATTAGACATTATCCTGCATTCTGCCTTTACCAGAAAGTGATTTCTTGTAGTAATAATCTGAGTGTTGTATTTGCATTATGAATATGGATAAGAACATTATCTCTTTACTGTTAGCTAGTGACATTAACTTTCTTCATATTTACAGAGGCCTCAAATTTTATATGAATATAGATTGTAAGCGGTTTAACAGTTTCTCTATTTTGAAAATTTTGGAGGCATTGCTAAAGCTTGGACACTGGTCGCAGTACAAGTTCAACTGCTTGTTTGTGCTTTGCAGCATGCTGACCAGGCCTTTTATGCGGAGTTAAATGGCATTGGACATGTGCTTGGCACTGCTGAATTGGTGGTTCAGATAATGGGAGATAGGAGCTAACTGATGCCAACACCATCAGCAAGTGATAGGAGTTATTAAAAGATGGATAGAATGGCCATCTCATGTGATGAGAAAAATTTACTGGCCAAGCAATACATTATATGTTTGATAGTTTGAGAGACAAATTGTGTCACGGTTGTGTGGTATCTCCAACTGATTTGCATACAGCTGTAGCATAAGTGTTGTTGACAATGTATTATTGGATTTTATGACCATTGATGCACAGTTAATACCAACAATAATCAATTTTTTTTGAGATGGCATTGCCCAATCATTCATGCTTTGCTTTCTTTTTTGTGGGTCCTAAGTCTCTTTCCCCCATTTTGTATTGTTTCCCATGTTATGTTACACTCTCATTTTGGGGCTCAATCTTCTCATGTTTATTCATTTTCATGATGAGCAATATTCCAGACCATATACTTTCTTGGTTGTTCACCTCTTGTTTATAGCTTTGAAAAGTAAAAGGCTTCTGGCATATTGTGTTTGGCTTCCTCCTGGTTAGGTTACTGAAGTTGCCATCCAAAGAATAGCCTTTGTTTTTGAAATTAATTGTATTGTATAGTCCATCAGCTTGGGCTGGCACAGTTTTCCACTAATAAGAATGACTGACGAGAACAATTTTCAGCTGAACAAATTGTCCTGTAAGCTGAACATCAAGCAACTCACATTTTACCCAAATAATGACATCTAAGAAATTCATGTGCATTTGTGATTGCCCAAATAATGACGTTCAAGTAATTCATATGGATTTAAGACCCAATGTTATTCTTATGGGAGTTGTGCATTTGAGGGATTTCAAACAAATTCTCAAATAATTGTGCACTTTTTTGATTCATTTCTTCTTTTGCATGCAGCTGCGACAACCCTCTAAAAATGCCTGTGAGATTGAGAAGGCATTGCAGCTACAATTTCTTACATGATTTTAAAATTAGGTTTGAATAAATCATTAAAATTGTTGGATTGTTATATTTAATGCATTATATTAAACTGTTTACAACAAAAAGACAGTTTAGAATGATGCTCCAAGAAATTATCTAGCAAAGATGTTAACTTTTGAGGAGCTCATATTACCATAATTGTAGAACAATTAGGAATAGGTTTAAGTAGTATGACAATAATGTATTATCTTCAATGGTGCTCAAAAGAGCTATTGGGGAAGTATGAATGTTTTTCCCTTCTTGTAAATAAGTTTGTGGAAGCATTACATAGACATGTTAACCGAGGAAACTAATATGTTACTATTAAGTCATTGATTGTCTCAAATGCTTAAGATGTTAGGAAATGGGTCCAACAATGTGTATGAAGCTATCCAACACCCTGCCTCACGTGCAATCCCATCTTGCACGTGGAGATACATAGAGAGAAGAAAAAATGTCAATGAGAGACAGAGAATGCAAACAGGGATCAAATGCAACTAGAGAGACTTGAACTGAAGACCTCCTCCAACTTGAGCTCTGATACCATGTTAAGTCACCAATTGTCCCAAAAGTTTAAGTTGTTTGGAAATGAGCCCAACAATGTATATCGAACTATCCAAAAATTACACAATGGATTTATGGAGAAAAAATGGAAATTGTAGGTAGCAATACTGTTTTTCTTTAGCGGTTATGATACTTGAAATTTGTGTTTGTGTAGTTTTAGTTTTCTCAACATCCAGGCCAAGGCTAACAGTGATGCAAAATGCTCCACTTAGTTCATGGTATATTTCTCATAATTTTTGCATTTACCGCATGACGTATGGTGAATATTTCACATCTTTAATAGTCATATGGATAATGGACTTCATTTTGAGGTTGTAGCTTGGTTTTGCAAGTCTATTGGTCCCAGTTACTTTGTTTTTGGTTTGAAGATTGACAAAGTGCACTCTTTCTTCATTGTATAGATTGTGATGTTTTGCATTTTGTAGGCAAGTTACTTCTTAAAGCTTTGTTCAGGAAAAATGGCAATATGTTTGCAATGTTTCTTGGAAGTTGGTGAGTAGATAATATTCATGGTGTAGGGCTCGTAGTCTAAAGCAATTCTTCTACCTTATGTAATAGTGGAAAAGAAGTTGATGTTTTCAATAGTACACTTTCAGGGGAATTTATCCAAAAAAAAAAAAAATAGTACACTTTTAGGGGAGAGAAACTATATTGAAAGATTTCCATTGTGCAATGGGTTCAATTGTGACCCAGCCAAGGAATAGTTGAGTTGCAATGAGTGAGGTGAGTGACCAATCGTTTGCCACTCCTCTGGTGTGAGTTATGTGCCCTTAGTTGTGTTGACAGTGCATGTGAGGGATATATCTTTGCAGGATGAAGCAGCTGTAACTGTCGCTAGCTGGAATGATTATGTATCAAAGATAAACTATGTTGAAAGTTGTCCATTGTGCAATGGATTCAATTGTGACCCAGCCAAGGAACAAAAGAGTTGCAATGAGTGAAGTTTGCCTCTGCTCTGATGTGAATTATATACCCTTACTGGTGTTGACAAGGCACATGAGGGATATATCTTTGGAGGATGAAGCAGCTGTAACTGTCGCTAATGTGGAATGATTATGTTCATGTATTGATACTATCTACTTCATTTAGGGTGGCAGACTTTGGAAATATGCTGGGGCTGCAATCTATGCTGTATCCTCCTTGAACAAAATAGAAAGATGCTGGGTGTTGATCTTTCTACCTCTGCCATGCAAAAGACCAAGAATGTACACTTTGTTGTATCAATGATATTTACCAATCTACAAACTGCTAGTTTGAGGGTGAGTGTGTGGTCCATTACATGTTAGCTACCTCTACAATAGGCAGACATTCTTGGCCAGGTTTTAGAATGGCAGAGAAGTCATGGAGGGATCTACTATGGATAGAGATGATAAAAGATTCAAGGGATGGATCTGGCATCACTTTCTATTTAGTTTTATTTTTTTATTGAGGACATTACTTGCATTCTACAAAAAGAAACTATGATGCGTCTGTCCTGTTTAAATTGGTTGTCTTGTGTATAACCTTTTTGGACAAAGTTCTTGGTGCTCATTGTCTATATTGACTGGATTGACAGTCCCTAATAGTTGTTTTGTTAGTGGAAGAGTTAGTGTTTACTTAGTCCATTCTGTCAACCCTTTTGTTCCTTGTTTTCTTTGTGGGCTTTCATTTGTCATTAGAATGGATGTCTTGTTCCAAGTTTGGTTATATGATGGTTTTTGTTCTTGGGGTTTTATCGCTTCTATGGTTGTCCTTGCAGTAGTCTATTAGTAGCCGTGGGAGGACAGGAATTCAACTGTAGGAGGCTCTTTTAGTACAAAAAAAGAAATTTTTTCCGTATAATTCGTATGGTATATTTGCTTTAATTTGGTATGCATGCAAGACATTTTATATTGATTCAAATTTTTATGAAGTAGAAGTAGTTGTTGTGGATTTGTTGCAGTAATACATGGTGGCTATTTTTTTGTACTGATGAATTGTACCAATATGTCTTGGATCCTTCTAGTTGGAATGCATTTCATATGGGAAATTGCAAAAGGTCCTTGACTTGTTGATCCTAAGAATTGGAATGATGAAAAATTGAAGTCTGTTTCTTTGGTGAGTTTTAAGAATTAGAGTTCTTAATGAAACTGGAACGACATTTTATGCTGCAAATTAATGATGGTTGTGGATTTCTATGGCAATTTCATTGTTGAGGGGATAACAAGGAGTGGTAATATCTACTAAAAGTGATGTGGTGGTTGTAGAATTCTTAAGTGATTCTTGAAGGTGTTGCTAGCATTTGTACTGGTAGTATGACTATTGCTGAAGATCATGGGTTGCGTGATAGAAATGATTTATGGCTATGATGAGTGCGAAGTGAGTTTGAGGTAGTAGATGGTGGTGTTGGAGGCAGTGCTGGATCTTCTTATTATGATATCATAGGCAGTAATAGCATTGGTGGCATCAGGGTTTTAACGTAGTCAAAATTGTTGGATGTCCTTATGATATGTTGATTGTGTTGGTAGCCATGGGTTCTCAAAGTAAGTGGCTGTTAGCTACTGAAAATGGTGAGAGAGGTAATGGTGATTATGTATGCCATGTTAGAGCTTGCAGTGAATGTTGATGGTTGGTGTAAGGTTTTAAGAGGGTAGTGGGAATTGGTATGTGGTGGTCATTACAGTTTAACAAAGCTGGTGTTTGTGGTTGTGGTTGTGGTATGTGTGGTGGTCATTACAGTCGTGGGAGCAATGTAGCATTGGTGCCACTGGTCATGGTGGTAATATTGGCCAGCAATAAGGTGATTGAATTGGCACATTGAAAATAAGGATATTAGTACTGATGATGATGCCTTCTTCTCCTAGGAATGCAATATTCATGTTCCCCCACTAATAGGGGGTTGGTTTAGTGGTAAGGCCTTCGAATCCCTCGCTGAAAGCCTGGGTTCGAGTCTCCATAGCTCCTTGTTGGGGTTAAACATACTCTTTAGCACATGGAGCACGCGGGGGGGCCTAAGCTTAGGCCCCGCCGTAAGTGTGGTTAGGTTCTCTGCAGATATGCTGTGGGTGTTAAGGGGCAATACTCCCTGACGGGTATATGGAGTAGCCTATCTGCATATCCATTTTATGAATTAAAAAAAAAAAAAATATTCATGTTCCCCCGCAAGTACCATATCTTTCATCTCTCTGTCAAAACATTTATGTCCACAAAGTTGGTGTTCTATCATCTTTGCAGGATGACAGGTCTTTATTTGTGAGTTCAAAAGATTAATATAGCTTTGCCTTGATAATAGTTAATGTCATCTACCCGCTAGAAATATCTGCTTGCCAACAGAAATTTTTTTTGGTTTTTACTATAAGATTTGGTTTCGTTCAGGCTGGCTGAGTTGTTTGTAGTTGTAACTGAGGCTTCTAACTGTTGAACTGGAATGGAAGCCTTAAAAAAGAAACTTGCATCAATACGAAGTAGAGGGTAATTCTAGTTAACGCTGAAAAGTGGCATGCATACACCCAGGTGGATGGTAATTTACAGTAGAACCATGTAACAAGGATGTATTATTCCGTGGTTGAGGCCATCATGGAGACACCTATTGGGTGCATTTTCATGTATTCACCTTCATGTAGCCACTGAGACCCATGTTATTGACCTTTTCAGTTAGTATCAGATCAGATAACTAAAAATCTGCATTGAAAAAGAAAAAAAGAAGGAAAGAAAAAAAAAGGAATGTCTGCCCTCAACTTCAAGCTGCCTTGGCATGGGCGTTGGCTTCTCTCTAAGGTCATAGTTCTCAGAATATTTGAAACTAACTTCAAGTTGA